TTTTTTAAGAGAGTGAGAGAGCAGAGAGAGAGAGAGAGAGAGAGAGAGTTTTTTTAAAGTATTTATTTTTTAGTTCTCGGGGGACACAACATCTTTGTTGGTATGTGGTGCTGAGGATCGAACCCGGGCCGCACGCATGCCAGGCGAGTGCGCTACTGCTAGAGCCACATCCCCAGCCCTGGAGTTTTTTTTTACATCTAATGACCCGCACATCAGAAATGGTCCCCAAGCCCTTAGTCAGCATGGGAATCTGTTTTGGTGGAGCCCCAGTAACAGCAAGAGGCGCAAGCTTTAAGAGACAGCCATTCCTAGCCAGCACGGTGGTGCCTGCCTGTAATTCTAGTGGCTCAGGAGACTGAGACATGAGGATCACAAGTTCAAAGCCAGTCTCAGCAACTTAGCAAGGCCCTAAGCAATTTAGTGAAACTGTGTCAAAAGGACGGGGATGTGGCTCGTGGTTAAGTGCCCATGGGGTCAATCACTGGTATAAAAGAGAACGCACAAGTGTGCACATGCTACCTCTTGCTGCTCTGCCCTGCAGCCTGTCAGGGCTGAGCTCTTGGGGGTAGGAGGATGGAGCAGGGCCAGAAGCCAGCACTGGGCCTTTGCTGTCTTGACCCCACAGCCTGCCAGTTTTTCTTGCTCTCTGAGCTTTATTCTAGCAGCTGACTTTCTCTTGCCTCTCTTTCTTTCCCTCTCACCAACTCATGCATTTTATTTTACACTCTGGGTGTAGATTCTTCCCCTCAGCAGACTCAACGTTCACCTGGAGACCTTTTCACACAAAGTCCTCCCTCCACTCTCTCCCCATAGTGCTGCCAAGTCCAAACCCATCATCGCAGAGCCAGAAATCCATGGAGCACAGCCTCTGGATGGGGTGACCGGCTTCCTGGTCCTGATGTCTGAGGGGCTGTACAAGGCCCTGGAGGCCGCCCACGGGCCTGGCCAAGCCAATCAGGTGAGCTGGTCGGGACAGAGCTGGCAACCACGGGGCATGACTGGCTGGCCTGCAGGGTAGGTGCTCTCCTGGCAGCCCAGAGCACTGATCCCCAGATGCCATCACCAGACACCTTTTCTGAGTGCAGAGCTGAGAGAAGGGACAGCCCAGAGCTTGGGCTGGGGATGTGGTAGAGCACTTGCCTAGCATGCATGGGGCCCTGGGTTCCATCCTCAGCACCACCCAAAAGAAAAGCCCATAGCCCTGAAAACACCTGTCCCTCCCAAAGCTCTGTTCCTGGGTGAGCAGCAGTATCACGCCCAGGGCCCTCAGGCCTGAGGGCAGAGGGCAAGAGGGCAGTGAGTTCCCCCTGGCAGCCTTATTCTGGGGTGCTGGACAGAGGCCTGGACCCAGGAGGGCAGTGGGTCAGGCTTGTTCCCCTTTCCAGGAGGGGTTCTCTGGGGCTTCAGTTCCTGGTCAGAACACCAGAGTGTCCTCCCTCCTGTAGTGGATGGGGAGGGTGACATCTCCCTTGGAGGGACCATGGTGAGGTCAGGCGTGGGAACATGGAGTGGCTTATTTCTGCACCGTGGCAGGAAGTGGGACTTGCGGGCAGGTGTTCAGGAGGAGGCTGCCCTCGCCTAGCCTTGGGTTGTGTTCGGTGTCTTCCTCCATCAGCAGTGGGTGTGATGGGGGCTCACCTTTTCTGCCTCATCCTTCTTCACTAAAAGGAAGAAGTCTTAAGTGCCTGACCACCCCTGATCCCTGTGCTCAAGGTTTTCCCACCATTTTATCTTATTATTCATTCCAGCAGCCTCCTAACAAGAGGGGCCGGTGGCTTACTTAGTTCTAGTTCAGGATCTTGCCTGAGGTGACAACGCTGATGGCAGTGGAGCTGGGTTCCTCAGGTCCAGGTCCAGGTCAAGGTCATTGCCCTTAATTGCCCTCCCTTCCTGCCTCCAAGAAGCTGGAGCCAAAGACTGGGTGCAGTAGTGATGCCTGTTATCCAGCTATTCAGGAGGCTGAGGCAGGAGGATTACACTTCAAGACCAGCCTCAGCAACTTTGTGAGACCCTGTTTCAAAAAATAATAATGACTGTGTACAGAGCTCTGTGATAGAGCACCCTTGGCCCAGTAATGGGGGAGCTGGCTGTAGCCAGCCCTCATGTAGAGGATTTTGTGCTTCTAAATTTTTATTTTTTGGTACTGGGGACTGAACCAGTACTAGCTCTACCACTGAGCCATATCCTCAGCCCTTTTTATTGTTTATTTTGAGGGCCTTACTAAAACTGGCCTTGAATTTACAACCCTCCTGCCTCAGCCTCCTGAGTAAAATGGGATTAGATCCATTTTTGATGTTTTCATCAGTGTGGTTTTCTTTTTCTTTCTTTCTTTCTTTTTTTGTCAATAGAATTTTCCAGTGGCTTCTACAAGGTTCTAGATTATGCTGGACAGGGGATTTATCTGAAGGCAAGAACAGTGTCTTGTTCCGCATCCCTAATTGCTAATAAAATGCCTGATCTGGTGCATCATAGCCTACATGAAATCTTTCCAGGAAGGAAGTCCTTACTGATGTGCATCTACACTGGGCCCCATGGTAGTGTGCAGAGTGCTGTCACGTCCGTGTTATGTAACCCTCATAATGACTGGCAAGGTGGATATTATCCATTTAAACAATCAGAGAGGTCACAAGGTCACACTCTTTTTCTAATGAGAAAGTTCTTAATACTCATAATACTCTGGTTTCTCTTTGGATCATATAAATCTTTTGCCTTTTGCTAATGAGAAAGTTCCAGAAGGATTATCCTGAATGCCTTGACAAGCTCAGATTATAGGCTTGGCTAACAGGGTACTTCCTTTACCTACTGGTCTGGTAAAACCTAAGTCTCTCAAAGAAGGCTCTGGAGTGACCACCCCCAGGCCCTTGGCCACCCCTCATTCCTCACCAGGTTCATTGCCCTGTCTCCAGGAGATTGCTGCAATGATTGACACTGAGTTCGCCAAGCAGACCTCCCTGGACGCAGTGGCCCAGGCTGTGGTAGACCGGGTGAAGCGCATCCATGGTGACACCTTCGCCAGTGGTGGGGAGCGTGCCAAGTTCTGCCCACGGCACGAGGACATGACCCTGCTGGTGAGGAACTTTGGCTACCCGCTGGGTGAAATGAGCCAACCCACACCAACCCAGGCCCCAGGTATGTGTACTTTATAGAGAGGCTGTAGGTGGGTACAGAGCCGCTGAGCCTTGGACTAGCTCCTGGAGTGCAGGTGGAGCTAGGAGGTTTGGGTTGCAGTTCTAACCCAGGCCCCTGACCTCCAGTCTCTGAGCCGCCCCTTGTTGTTTTCTTTTGTTTTATTTATTTATTTTTTGGTGCCAGGGATTGAACCTGGGATGCTTAACCAAGGGCCACATCCTCAGCTCTTTTTTTTTTTTAATATTTTTTAGTTGTTGATGAACCTTTATTTTATTTATTTGTATGTGGTGCTGAGAATCAAACCCAGTGCCTCACACATGTTAGGCAAGCGCGTTACCACTGAGCCACAACCCCAGCCCCCTCAGCTATTTTTTATATTTTATTAAAGGCAGGATCTCACTGAGTTGATTAGGGTTTTGCTTAGTTGCTAAGGCCGGCTTTGAACTCGTAATCCTCCTACCTCAGCCTCCCAAGCTGCTGGGATTACAGGCGTGCGCCATTACACCTGGTTGCCCCTTTATTCCTTGTCTGTGAAATGAAGGTAGCACCACCTGCCCTGTCCTCCTGCAGACCTAAGGGGTGAACAGGTGGTGTGCAGGGTCACAGAGGCACATGAAGGTGACAGCACCCCTGGCTGAGGGCCCCGCGAGGCCAGATCCTGACCTGCATTGCTTGTTGTTGTCCTTGTGAGCAACCGTAAGGACAGGAAGAGGAAACAGTTTCAGAGCAAAGGGACCTGGGTAAGATTAGGTACTGGACAGATGGTCAGGCTGCAGCATCTGGCTCTGTCTCTGGCCTCATTGGACAGGGAAGACTGTTACTTTCTTCCTTTTTCCTTTTAATTCTTAAATCATAAGCACAGAGATGGTCGTGCCTTGGGGTGTCCCTCCCAAGGCATCACTGGGCTCCTCGGGGCTGACTTCCTTTTCTTTTTTAAACAAGGAAACCTTGGAGCCCAGGCATCCCTGATGCTTTGTGCCCTGGGCTTGCTGGAGTTTCTCAGGCTCACTGTTCCTGCAGCCATGTTTGTATTGGGTCGAGATCCACTAGGAGCAGATCCACTTGGATCATCCACAGGAAGCCCCGTCCTTGGATCATCTGCGGGAAGCTGGGCTCTTGATTCCATTGAGCACCAGTGGTTTCCCTGGTGGAGGGAGGTCCCAGCCTCTCAGGAAGAATCTCTACCAAGGGACACTCCTGGGCTGCCCCAAGGGGCAAGGGCTGTGCCCCATCAGCCCCAAAGTAGCCCTACCCTCCTCCTGATCTGGTGCCCAATGCTCTCTCCCCCTACAGCTGCAGGGGGCCGCGTGTACCCCGTGTCCGTGCCCTACTCGAGTGCCCAGAGCACCAGCAAGACTAGCGTGACCCTCTCCCTCGTCATGCCTTCCCAGGGCCAGATGGTCAATGGGGCCCACAGTGCTTCCACCCTGGACGAAGCCACTCCCACGCTCACCAAGTAAGCCCTGGGGCCCTGCTGAGGGAGATCTCCTTAGAGCCCAGGGCAGGAAGAGGTGGCACTGTTGGTCCAGCAGCTGGATAAAGCTGGACCTGCGGGGAGGGGGGGGGCGGCAGGGGGTCTGCCAGGGAGCAGGGCTGCTGAAGGTGCCAGCCTGCTGCTCTGCCTGCTGGGGCCTGTGTTCTGGCTTTTGTTCACCAGGACATGCTCTCATTCTTCTCCCTGTGGCGTAGGTGGCTCCCTGTGGCCTGGCCTGGCACAGCTGCTGCTCTCAACTGTGATGCCCAGAGTCCAGCTTCTAAGGGGGCTGTCTAGATTAAGAGGGGTGCGTGGAGGCCGCAGCCTGGGTGGGATGCAGGGGTCACCTCTGTGCAGAGCTGCCTGGCAGGCCTGGTGTCCACCACCCACACCCCCCACCCCAGGAAGCCCCAGACAGATCTGGTTTCCACATTCCAGCACAGAATAATAGAGATGCCACACCCAGCCCATCCCAGGGTGGCCAACAGGATGTGGCCAATTACAAGTGGCTGAAAGGAGGGAGTGGCCTGTTTTCTTCCACTCTGCAGGGGTCCTTCCTTCCCCTGCCTCCCCCCCCTGCTGTCCTTGCTGTGGCCGGTGGGAGCCTGCCAGGCAGCCAAGCTCCACCTCCAGCACAGGGTCGGGTGGCCGATCCTTCACCCCTGTGGGGCTGCCCCAGGAAGCCACCAGCTGTGTCCACAAGGCAGAGCCTGATGGCTGTGGACTGTCCCAGATAAGACAGGACACTCAGCATCCTCTGCCTCTGGCCTCCTGGGCTGGGTGGCCTCGTCCCTCCCAGCTCCGAGAGTTGGTTGGGTCCCACCAGGGCTGACCCTGTGCCTGAGCTGGGTGTCCTGGACATTGACAGGTCAGCGGCTAACAGATAGTTCTGTGACAGAAGGTGGGTGTCCAGGGCCTTGGAGAGCATGGGCACCTGTCCCTGTGTGGCCAGGGAGGGAGCAGGGGGAGGGGAGTGGAGGCAGGTGTCTGGAAGGGACTGGCTGCCTGTGCTCAGTGGGCGAGGGTCGGGTGGGGTGGAGGCGTGGCCAGGCAGACTGGGAGGCTGGCAGGGGTGCGGCTGCCTGTCCCACGGGAGCCATTCACCAGGAGTGGCTGATTTAAACAGCCACATGCGGCCAGTCCTTAAGAAACGTGTCTGACATTTTATCTGTCCTTCTGTGGCCACCTTTGCCAGAGATTCCTGTGGCCCAAGGGCCTGGTGAGTCAGGGAATTCTCTGTCCCCAGGACAGGGGTCAAGGCCCCCTTGACCCAGCCATCCCAGAGTGGTTCTCCCCTCTTGTCCCTGCAGCCAGAGCCCGACGCTGACCCTGCAGTCCACCAATACGCATACCCAGAGCAGCAGCTCCAGCTCCGACGGTGGCCTCTTCCGCTCCCGGCCTGCCCACTCTCTCCCGCCTGGTGAGGACGGCCGCGTGGAGCCCTACGTGGACTTTGCTGAATTTTATCGCCTTTGGAGCGTGGACCATGGTGAGCAGAGTGTGATGACGGCACCGTAGCCTGAGTACAGCCCAGTGGACCTCAAGTGAGGGCAGGAACCAGCCCTGGTTCAGCCTTTCCTGACTGCCTGTGCCCAGGAGCAGGGGCACCCCTGTCCTCGGCCTGCACTGGCCTCTGCCCCGAGGCTCTTGGGCTGTAGAGCTGCGGGTGCAGACTGTGCTGCTTGTCCACACCTGTCACCTCGTGGGAGGCTGGAGGCTACTCTGCCGCAGCCTCAGCCAGGACATTGCTGTTCCTTAGCAAGGGCCCAAGTGTGGAAGCTGTAGCTGGCCTGCAGGCCACCGGGGATTCCTTCAGCCCTGCAGCAGCGTGGGAAGAGGCTGTCCTGTGGGCCCCGAGGGCCACCATCTCCTGTAAAATAACCTGGGCCACTGCTAGCGCCCCTCCACTCCCAGGAAGTGGTTTCCCCTCTCCAGCTTCTCAGCCTCGTGCTCCCATGGCCACCGGGACCAGGTCAGACGGAGAGGACCCGAGAGAACTGGCCTAAGAGAAGCCCTGGAGCTGCCAGAGGGGCGTGCACTGGGCAGCTGGGCCTTCCCAAGAGGGTGCGGGAGAGGTGAGGCTGAGCCCCCCTGAGCTGTGAAGAGGCAGGGCAGGCCCAAGTCAGTGAGCCAGTTCCACCCTGCATCCTCCCTGCTGGTGCTAGGGAGGCCACATTAGGAATAGGTGAGGTGCGTGGCCTTTACACTGGGGGACTCTGGTTGACACACTGCCTGTGGGTCAGGCTGAGGGGCGTGGTCAAAAGAGAAAAGAGCAAAAACTGGTTCCAGGAGGGAAGAGATGCCTCAAGGCCTTGAAGGGAAAGGACTGGGCTGGCCAGGACTGGGCTGCACCGCTTCACACGGTCTGTCACCACTGGAGGGACACCGCCAGGGCTGCCAGGCAGGGTTGCCATTCCCGTTTTCAGAGGAGGAAACAGAGACTTGCCAGTGTCACACCATCGATGGCAGAGCTGGAGCTCAGGCCTGTGGCTTCTTTAGAGTCTGCAACCCATGATGTCCCTCTGGCCAGGGACCTGCCACCACTGAACAGCCCCAGTGTGCTTGTTCTCTGCAGTGTGGAGGCTGGCCCCAGGGTCCCCTGCCCACTCCATGACCCCAAAGTCCATTTCTGCAGCAGAGCTGAGGCCAGTGCAGTGCCAGGGACAGGCCGGGTCTCCTGGGGAAGCAGAGGAAAGGCAGCTGCCCGCCCCTGTGAAGCCACCCATCGCTCTCCTGCAGGGAGCAGGTTAAACCGTCACAAAGGCTCTGGAACAAAGGGAATTCTCCCAAGGAATGTCTCTGTCCCTGTTTTGGTTCTGTTTTTAATGCAGTAAAGTCACACACGGTGGCGTCACATGGTGCAGTGTTCCTGCTGGCAGTCTGTCCCACATGACTCTCCCTGGGAGGTGGCTGCCTCCTGTCCTGCCCAGGATGCTAAGGACCAAGCTAGCCAGGCTGGTAAGGGCAGGGATGGGGTGGAGCCAGGGTCTTAGGGCTGACCCCTCCCACAGCTCCAGGGGAGACCCTCATTCCCTGAGGCAGGTGAGAGCCTGGAAGCCCACTGCCAGCCCCATCCCTTGACAGCAGCCTGGGGCTCCACTGGGGCCCTGGACTGGACCAGCCAGAGAGCAAGGTCCCCAGAGCCACTGCACGGCCCAGCTGAGGCAAGAGGGCACTGAGGGAGGCCCACAGCACCTGGGCCACCACTGGTTGCTGTGGCTTCCGGGCCTGGCCCCGGCCTCTGAGTGTCCTGAGTTGGCCATCCACCAGGCTGCAGTGCAGGTTCCCAAGACACCCCTGCTGATGGGGCACCTCCATGGGTGGCTGTGGCAGGGGACAGGAGCAGGGACTCTGGCTGCCCTGAGTCACAAGGGAAGGCACAGGGGCTCTCCGCATGCTGCCCCCTTCTCGTTCCCTCCTGTGGGAGGCCACCCGCCCACTCTGCTCAGTTTTCCTAGAAACTCACGAATGTCACTTGCTCCTTTTTCTGTGTCATCTCCCTTGTCCACTGTTATCCATTTTGTGAGGACAGCGACTTTGTGACCTTTACTCCACTGGGTCCAGCCCTAAGGCCCCTAGTGGGCCCTCTCACAGTGCTGAGGGACTCAGTGGACAAGTGAGTGGGAGGAGGACTCGTCCTGTGACCTGGGCCAGGGGCTCGCACTGAGCCTTGGCCTTGCCCTCTGTGAAGATAGGATCCGCTTGTTGAGATTGGCCAGTGGCCCCAGGCGGTCCCCTCCCTACCTCTGCTGTCCTGCCCGCGTGGAGCCTGGTCCAGGACACGTCCCTAGAGGAACACTACCCACAGGCACATGCTCAAACCTGGGGGAGGGGGGAAGGACAGCAGGCTTGATGCCCCTGTGGCTGCTGGGACCCAGGGGCTGGGTGGTGGCTGTGGTTCTTGCCTCCTCTCAGCCGCAGACAGAGGCCGTGGCCAGGCCCCCTACTCCTCCTCAGGAGTCTTTGGTGATGCTTCCTTCTGGGGACCTCTTGAAACCTGGGAGAACTCCGGTCACTGCCACTCATGGTGGGCTCAGCACAAGCACACTCTGTTCCCACTCAAAGGTGACACCAGCCCAGAGCAGACCAGTGCTGGACATTTCCTCGAGACTGGGTGGCCTCATGAGGACAGACCGCCTGGCAGCCAGCCTTGAGCAGTGTTGACCCCAGCGCCTGGACCCCATAACTGCCTTTGCAGACCCCACAGGTGTCGGAGGACCCTGGACTGTGGCTGTTGCCAGATGCAGCCCTCTTGCCTTGTTCTCGGGTCACCAAGGGACCGGGGTAGGGCAGAGGCGGGCCTTCAGTGCCGTGGCTGGTTTCCACTCGCACCAGGATGAAGGTCCTGCACTGTGGCCTCTCAGGCCATCCCAGGGCCCACTTCTGAGCTCAGGCACCTCCGTGGCCCCAGCCTCTACCTCCAGCACCTGCTTTGCCGCTGGTCCTCCCCAGCCCCAGGACGACCACGGACAGGTGGGGAGCCACAGAGCAGGGCTCCAGAGCATGGCTACAGGAAGGTCTTCACCCCAGGCCCCAGGGTTTGGGGGTCAGTAATATTAAAATTCTCTCTCTTAAAAAAAAGAAGTTAGATGTGTCCTCATTTTGTTCTGTGAGGGGGGGTGCCGGGAATTGGACCCCTAGGCAAGCACTCCCCTAGAGCTACGTCCCCAGCCCTTGTGGTTCATTCTGAATACGTGGATTCTGTAATTAAATTCATACTATCCCTGTGTTAATTTTATTTTTTATGTAAAAAGGATATTTAATAAGAATAGAAAAACAAAGTAAATTTTTTTGCCTTTCTATTTATTTACCCTTTTTTTTTTTTAAATGCAGCAGAGTACATTTCTATTGCACACAAATGGAGCACACCATTTCAATTCTCTGTACACGGTGTAGAGACGCACTATTCATGCAATCATACCTGTGCTTAGGGTAATGATGTCCATTTCATTCCACCATCTTTACTGTCCTCAGAACCCCTCTCCATCTCCCACCCCCCGTGTTAATTTTTTTTTTTTTTTTTTTTTTTACCCGGGGTTGGCCTCGGGGGCCCTTAACTACTGACCCACATCCCCAGCCCTGTTTTGTATTTTATTTAGAGACAGGTCTCACTGAGTTGCTTAGTGCCTTCCTTTTGCTGAGGCTGGCTTTGAACTAGCGATCCTCCTGCCTCAGCCTTCCAAGGCACTGGGATTACAGGCATGTACTACCACGCTCCCAGTTCCCTGTGTTAAATTTTTTGTTTTGTTTTGTTTAGAGTAGGGATAGGAATTATTTCATTTATTTAATTGACAAAAGTTATGCATGTGTATGTGTACCTTAATATTTTGATACATGTATACTTTTAGGAATACTAAGTCAAGCTAACTAATGTTTATTAGCTCACACACCTATCATTTTTGTATGTCAGGTCCTGTGTTAATTTTAATACAAAAATAGCATCACTTTTTTTTTCAAAAACGATATTTCAAATTACTCATTATCAAAGTAAGTCAGTGCATCAGGAAAAAAAAATCATGTTAATCATACAGGTGATCCTAATTAGAGACTGACTGTTTTGTGTGGCTGTGTTCCCTGGGTGCTCACAGTGCCTTAACTTGGGCCTCAGATGGGGGGTGTGAGCTTAGCAGGGGGTGTGGGTCTGGGCAGGTGGGGGGGCCAGGCAGTGGAGTGTGGGAAGGGGTTGCCATCGCCAGTCTTGTCCAGTCCTGGCCAAGAGCTCAGGCCCCTTGGACTGAGCCCAGAGAGCGACATGTACACCAGCAGTTCTGTGACCTTGGGGGCAGGGGCGGCTGGAGTCCACTGGCAGAGAAAGATAACTGGCCAAGCAGCAGGCCCCACACCTCACTCAGGCCAGCTGGGCCATACTTCAGGCCTAGGACTGGCCTGGACACTGGGCAGCTGTGCCTTTGCTGACACTCCCTGACAGAGCTACTCACCTGCAGGCCATAGCTCGATGACACCTCCCTCCCCAGTACATCCCTGCTCCCAGGCCTTCCTTGAATCCCAAAGGCCCAGGGCATCCGGGATAGTTCCCAGACTCAGTCCACAGTGTGACCCTGAGGCTCCTGCTGAGACCCACATGTGGTTCATCCGTAGATTCCAGCACCCTGCACAGGGCAGCATCTGGGCATTGAGTGGGACTGGAAGGGCCACTACTGTTCTTCGGAAGGGACCACTCTACTGCAGAGTCCGGGAGTTCAAGATGGTGGGTGGCCCTGGGCATGGGCATGGGTGCACTTGGGCTTCCTTGGGCCTCTTCTGCAAAAAAAAAAAAAATACTTAAAATTGTATTTTCTGACTGTGTTGGTATCATTCATATATATATTGGTCCTGGGGATTGAATCCAGGGGTGTTCTGCCCCTGAGATACTTCCTCAGCCCTTTTAATTTTTACTCTCTCCAAGTTACCCAGGCCTCGAACTTGCAATCCTCCGCCTCAGCCTCCACAGTTGCTGGGATTGAGGGTGTGTGCCACTGCATCCAACTAAAATTCTTCTTTGAACTAAAAGTTTTGGGGTTTTTTTCTGACTCAAAGAAAGTGAAACATTCTCATAGGCCCCTAAAAGCATAGAGACCCAAGGCTCTGTGCCCCCTGCACCCAGTCAGGAAGACAGCTCTGTGACACGGACCTGCAGGGCCTAAGTCCCCAGTGGGGTGGCCTGGGGAGGCCTCAGTCCCTGCCTTCTTGAACCTGAGACCACTGGGGTCTGGAAAAGTTTTAAAAACAGGCCAAAAGAGACGGAGAGGGAGGCAAGGGAGGTGCCCACAGGGGCCCTTTGTGGCCTCCCGGGGTTTGCAGGCTATGTCTCCACAGGTGCCCGCCACTC